TGGAGTTTCGAGTTTCGAGGGTGAACTCGTTTGAAATCAGAGACCCAGAGACTCCAAAACCCCTGAATTCAGGAATATTCCTTGACTCATTTTCGGGTTCCTAGTGTAAGTTAAGGCATATTCCTTAATTAGGGGGTTTTGGCGCCTCTGGGGAGGGTGAGTTGGTTGAAAAAAGAGAGGGCCTCTTGAGGGCTTGGTTGTCTCTGGTGCTTAGCAGGGAATGGATCCCTATAGCAGTGTATAATCCCCAATAATAGTCCCTATAAGCCATGACCCCATTCCGACCTAAGAACCAGACAGTTGTGAAGGAAGGGCTTGGGATGTCTGAGGGGAGTTTTATGTGCTGCAGAAGGGTTTCATCAGATTACTTATGAGGTCTAGGAGTTGTTGAGGAAGTGGTTTTACTAAATGGTTTCCGAAGAGTCTGCGGAGTTGTTGGGGTGGATTCTTTTGTATTGAATGAATGGTGTGAGGGCTTTTGGAAGGGTGTTCACAAGGGTTCCGTCAAGATTGAAAGGTGGTGTAAAACCGGTTTGTTCTGATCGCTGTAGTCTCCTTAGGATTTTTATGTTTTTTCAGATAAAACCAAGGGAATATAAACACTAGTATGTTTATTATAGTTCTAAGGCGGGTATAGATCAGGGTTTCATGAGCTTGATTGTTCAGGGCGTGCTTCGGCTTCACCCTTTGACTGTGAAGCCCATTTTGGCTGCAAACTCAACTTTTCAACTTTTGGGGCTCTTAAAAGGTAGCCGATTCTGAAAGTCTCAACTTTCATTTCCTTGGGTTTTGGGGCCAGTGAGAGCCAAACCTTGAAGTCAAGTTCTAAATCTAAATCATTAACTGAACTCCACAGTGGCCACAGCTTGACCAAAACCCTAAACCCTAAACCGTTTTGATTCCTAAGATGAGCCTAAGATGGCCGAAGAGCCTTCGAACTACATGGAAACTCCGAAGTCCCTTGAATAAAGATTGTACCTTGAAGCCTGGAACCTTATGATTAAAGGTAGGCACATATTGTTAACACCAAAAAGTTGGAAACCGGCTTAGGGACAATCATTGCTGGGATATTATACATTACTCTTAGGGGTTGAGGCTTTTGTGTTTCCAACTTCTGGGCTTCCACTGAACGGTATAGGGTTTGGGGTTTAGGGCTTTCTGTGTGTCTTGGGGGGCCCTGGGTAGCAGAAAAGACTCGGGACTCGGCCTCTTGAGCCCCTAAGCACTAAGCAAGGAATATCCTGAACAACGGTTGATGATATAAATCCTGCATTACCCGTAATAAGGAATATGCCGTAACTGTTCATAGTTTAGGGTTCTTAAGGTTATGCAGGATTTACATCATCAACCGTGGGATCTGGGTCCAGTCCGTGGGGTTTACATCGGAGGGATTTGGGTTGAGGCTGACGGTTTAAAGTCTACTGCCTTGCTAGAAATCTTGCAGTAGAGACGTCGGCATACCTGTTGATTTTTTGTTATAGGCCCTCTTAAAGTTATGTGTGGCATACCAAAAAGCACCATTTTTACAACTATCACTCCTTCTAATTTGTTGCATTGCAGTTCGTAGCATCTCAGAGCCTAAATCCTTACCCCTAAGCCCCATGAGTTGCCCCCGCCAAGGTTGTCCCTGTGCAACCTTTTCATCCAACTTTGCGCTACCAACCTCAGAATCGTCACTGAACCTAAGCTCGCAAGCCCCTCGGCACCGCCTGCAAAATTATCACCCCCTTCAAGCGAAGCGTTGAGGATGCCTGGCTGCGGGTCTACAACTCACGGAGTTCAGGGTTGAATGTTTGGAACTTAACGTTCAGGGCTCGACTCTTGGGTAAATGGTAAGTTGAGAGCTCTATCCCTATACCCATATTAAAACCCCCTTGGGTAAAGAGTAAGTTGAGAGCTCTATCCCTAAACCCACATTAAAACCCTCTTGGGTACAGGGTAAGTTGAGAGCTCTATCCCTAAACCCATAGTAAAACCCTCTTGGGTACAGGGTAAGTTGAGAGCTCTATCCCCAAACCCATATTAAAACCCTTGTTGGTAAAGGGTAAGTTGAGAGCTCTATCCCTAGACCCATAGAAAAACCCTAAATCCTTAGACCAAAACCGTAAAACCCAGATTGTGTGCTTCCTTCTCGCCCGCCGGCTTCGGCCACCAAGCCGCGGTACAGCGAAGCTCTTGCGCCCTGGTCTGCTTCAAAGGGGGCTTCAAGGGGGCTTTAAGCGGTCTGCTTCAGCATCTGGCGTGTACGGTTTAGGATTTATTCAGGGTTTAGGTATGATATTCGTGTTTCACAACAGGGTTTCAGAGGATTCAGGAGCCTGCGGCTCAGGGTGCAGGGTTTAGCACGCTTTGTTTGTTCGAAGAGGGTCCGGCTGGAAAAGGCCTGCTCAGCCTTCAGTACCTGTATATAACCTGTCACGTACCCCGCACGCCCTCTTCTATTATGATTATTGGGGCCCACGTCAAGTAGAGACTGCACGATTTGTTTGTGTTGAACTAGCAGTTCAGACCCTTTCTCATGATGTGCATGTGCCAAGAGGTGTTCAAAGGTCGTGGAACTTGAGGAAGGCTCCTTAGAGTGCGTAACGAACCTTGGCGTTCTTCTGTTCGGCTCTTTAGACTTTAACTTTTTGGGTTTCTATATGAACTATAATAAGGAGGCTAAAAGTTAAACTTTTAGGAGGCGTTCAGAAGTCAGCCAAGGAACATGTTTAGGAATCAGTGCTGGAGGATGTTCAGCGCTGGGATTTCCACTGGTTTGTGGCTTGAGGGTATGAGCAGAGTGATCTGCCAACTTCCTGGCTTCTATATGGGAGTTTCCGAAAACTAGGGGTACCTTATTTTGGGGTCCTTATAATAAGGATCCTACTATTGAGGGTACTATATTAGGGTCCCTATTTCTGAAAATCCCATATACTTCAAGCCCCCTTGGAAACAGAATTCCGTCGTATTCGTATTCTGCAACATCATCGTCGCGATCCTGAACCGAAACCCTGAACTGCTCACTCTGGCTACGAGGTGCTACCGTACGCACTGACTTACATACATGGATCTGCTCCTTGTATATGCATAAACTTATGAACAAACGCTTGAACTGCGAATAAGTCAACAGCATGTATGTATGTATGTACATACACAAAGGTACGCATCCCTTATGTGCATGTATAGCTTGCCGATCTTCCAGGTATAAGAAAGGCCAGATGAAGCCCATGTCGCCACCTGCCAATCTTGAGATGGATTTCGTGGACCCTGGTCGTTCAGGGTTCTGGAGTTTGTTGCATCTGGCTACACTCGAGCCCTGGTGTTTTCAAAGGGACTAGGTTTCCACAGGAAAAAGCATTCACAAAGATGCGCTGAGGCATCCCTAGCTCCAAGGGTCCAAGTATCCAGTATGTAGCCCCCCCCCCAGAAGTGGCAATTTACAGTTAACCCTTAAACCATTATCGCTCAGCAGACTCCGAACCATGTGCCTCGCCTGGATTGTCCGAGCGTGAGCGCCAAAACCGTTATTACTATATATCCTAAACCCCACCACCTGCACGAGTCTCGGGTACTACGGTTGATGATATAGATACTGCATGACCCATAATAAGGCATATACCATAATTCCCATAGTTTCGGGTCCTTAAGGTAATGCAGGATCTGTATCCCTAAACCCTAAACCCTATAGATCCCTTAAAGGAACCCCTTAAAGGCAGCCTTATAGATCCCTTTAAAGGAACCCCAGGATCAACCGTAGAGCTGGGGATGGGGTTTCGAGAGCCTTCTGAGAGCCCTGCCACCCGGGAGTCAAGGTTGCCTCTGGTCCTTGGCGCCCAGAAAAAGGGAGGATCCAAAAAGTAGATCCCTTAATTGGGGTTCCTGTAAAGTACCCTTAGTAGAAAAAGGGGCCCCAAATTAGGGGATCTACTTTCTAGATCCTCCCGGTCATCTGAGCATTTGAAAGTATATGAAGCCTATCATAATTGCGAAGGCTTAACCTTGTTGGGCCAGGGTACGCAGCTTTAGGTAGCCCACTGCGCTTGTGGTTTTCTCTGGGGAACAGCGATCCTAGTTTAAGATTCCTTCTGTAGCTCAGCTGGACCCACCTGGCTAAATGAAATATCCAGTCTGTTGATACTAAACCCCTAAACCCTAAACCCTAAACCCTAAACCCTAAACCCTAAACCCTAAACCCTAAACCCTAAACCCTAAACCCCTAAACCCTAAACCCCTAAACCCTAAACCCTAAACCCTAAACCCTAAACCCTAAACCCTAAACCCCTAGGGTTTCGGGTTTATCTGCTGTAGAGTTGTGGGTTTTCGGGGAATTCGGGGTCCTAAGAACCCCGTGTCAGCGAAGATCTCTCCTCCCTCGCGGTTCAGGGTTTAGGGCCCTAGGGTTGAGGGTTTGGGGCCTTGGGTTTAGGGTTTCGGGGCCGAGGGTTTAGGGTTTGGGTGCTAGGGCCCTAGGGTTGAGGGTTTGGGGGATTGGGTTCCCCATGGTACCCTCTGCTTGAGGGGTCAGGCGACTTCGTAATTAGATAGTTCAGAGACATAAAAGTTTCAGAACCCCAATCAGGACCCCTTTAAAGTTTTAAGGGCAGTTATGAGCAGTTGTCAAAATTAGGGTCTCTTTTGGGGTACCCTACATAATAGGTGCCGTATTATATTCGGGACCGAAAGAGGGACCGTAATTTTGACAACCACCCTTATAAGTCTACTTGTTACCTGCTTACTAAGTCCCCCGACCCTCCAAGTGTTCCAAGATGAGTGCTTGAAGGATCGTGGGACTTAGTAAGTAAGGTTATAAGTACCTTAATTGGAGTCATAAGTAGCTATAAGTATAGTTACCCTAATTATAACCCTAGTTACTATGTCCCATGATCCTTTAAGTGGAGGTTCTGCATTCCGAGATTTTTCAGGGTTCAGGATCTCAGATATAATGACGCAAATGCCGCAGGAGAAACTTCCCTCGCGGCCGACACATTAAATCCCAAACCCCTAGACTCAAATCTTAGGTTCCAATGCAGCAGAGTTATCACGGATGGCGTCCAAGAGGTGGACACCGGCTCACCGACAAACACCAAGGCAGGTCTACTTGTTTAGGGTCTGTATGGTTTAGGGTCTGTAGGGTTTACAGTGTAGGGTGGGCTTAGGGTCTGTAGGGTTCCTTTTATTCTGAAATCCTATCAGGCTTGTCGCTTTAGAAGTGCGAGTCAGCATCAGGGCATACTGTGTATATGTATATATATATATGTATATATATACACATGCATACATACATACATACATACATACATGTGTATACATATATATATATATATATATATATATATATATGGTGGTGGTGGCTGATTTGTTTCGGGGCTAGATCGAATCTTGCTAGCTTTAGGCTGACAATCCTCTGCAAAGCCTTACCTGAAGCTGTACTTCAGAAGCCTAAATGCTTACCACTATTAGCCTTAGGGTTCCTTATTAAGGTTATAGTATCATATGCAGCACTCCAAAACCCTATTCTAATTACTCAGGCCCCTACATTACGTGAAGCCGTGCGAAGTCACGAATTCGATTGCTGGCTTCGGGCTTTTCAGTGCCAAGAGCTTGGGAACGAGAGATGGGGACTTCCTCATGGGCATTGAATCTTGAACCGCAAACCGAAAGCGAAGCCTCACCAGGTAGCAAGTACTACGGTTGATGATATAAATCCTGCATGACCCATAATAAGGAATATGCCATAATTCCTAGAGTCTAGCGTCATTAAGGTAATGCAGGATTTATATCATCAACCGTAATATAGCCCTTAGACCCGAAAACACCCTTCAATGGCTCAATGTTGAAGGAAAGTCGAGTTCCGAGCATGGGTTCATATAGCATGACGTGCGCTTGTCTCTTCAGGTATCCTGGTGCGAATCAGCTTCCACAATGTTTTGGGATGTCTTTTAATGTGCATGGCATGCCACCCTTGTCAACAGGAACTGGAGATGAGCTTTCCCGAGCGGCACACCGTAAAGCCTTAACCTATCACTCCGTCCTTATACGGGACCGGAGGGCCCAACGTGAGACTAAGCGAATCCCATTTTGCTGTTTGTCTGCGTGTGTGTGTGTCAGTGTGTGCCTGGCACACCAAGTCTTGAGCCAGAAGAAACGGGAACACTGTTTCATGTCTTGTGGTTTGTTGGCAGTGTTGCCAAGTTTGGCCTAGCATGGGACTCCAGCAGCTATTCTGGCAGACATGTTGTCCCAGATGCCGTTTTGGAAGGATGAGCATGAGCGCTTTCAGGAAAATGATGTAACGGTCTGAGGGCGGATCTTTCAGATGCTTAGATTAAGGGCCCGCAAAGAGATGGCACAGATCAAAGAGAAGTCGTGCCGGCGACAGTGTTTGGGCAACCTTCATCTGCACCACAGAACTTCATGAATGAAGAAAGCTTTTCTGCTGGCATGTTTACCCAACTATTACCCTGAACAAGCCTCTCAGTTGTTCCTCCCAAAAGCAGGTGAAGAAAGTACTGGTGAAGTGGGACATCCAGCCGCAGGAGATGGTGGAAGACCTGAACGATCTCCGACTGCAGCTGGTGAAAACAGATGAAGACCCTAAACCCTCGCAGCCGCAGTCCAGAGTTCCCCTTGATTCTGGCATCTCTGTTCAAAACCGGGGCGCGACGCCAAGGTTGTGTTGCAAAGCGTTACGAATAAACATAAGAGGACCCGTAAGCACCCCTAGCCCAACGCTGCCGCCCACTCGCCCACCTACAAGCCCTAAACCTACACCTTCCCCCCCCCAAAGCCCAGTCAGTGCCCAAGGACTTACGAGGCTTCCGCCGTGTGATGACCGACCTCGGTGGTCCTATGCGCGAGGCTTGCCATTAGATGAGGGCTCTGGGTTTAGGGCAGCTGTCCAGATGGTTTTTGCGTAGCTACCATACTGAGCTGCCGAGTTTTGGCTAGTCGAACAGCAGTAGTTGGAAGCAGTGCTCACGCTGCAAACTTCGGTTGCAGACTGTTTTGACGATTCAACCTCTTTCGCTGTTGGTCATTACTGGGTGTCGCTTGAAGCGGTATGTTGTGGCTACTTGGAGGGGCAGCGGACTTAGTAAGTATGTTAAAAGTAGCGTTTTATAAGTACCCTAAATGGAGTTACCCCGATTATGACCCTACTTATAAACTACTTACTAAGTCCCATGCCCCTCCAAGTGGACAGGTTCATGTCCCGGCTCGCCTGTGATCCTTCCCAGCATCCTGATGACTATCAGCCATCGTCGTAACCGTCGCCGCAGCAGCACCTGTTCTCTGAGCTGAGACTTCTAAGATACTTTTCGGGATGCCCGAGAGCCTCACTCGTGCAGTCAGGGCCCGAATTGGGATGGTACTTCCGGATTCGCGGAAGCCCGAACATGACTTAACCGCAAGGACCTTGCGCCCTAGACTAAACTAGCTGGGCTCAAGGTTTACTGGGCTTTGGGGTACCATACTTTAATTCTTGTTTTTAAGGAACCAGTATGAAATCCGAGTTTATACTTTTTTCTCCCTGGTCACTTAAAAACCCAGTTTAGGGATCCGGTAACCCTGATCCCCAAACCTTGAGCCGACGGAGAAAGCAGCCAGAATCTTCGGAGGTTGTCCGGGTGAACACCGATCAGTCCCATCTGTCACGGGTATCTTCACGCCGCTCGGCTTGCATAGGAAGCCCACGACGGCGTTGCATCAGGCGCTTGCTGGGTTTTGTATAGTGTTTAATTAGTTAATATATATATATATATACACATATACATATACATATATATATATATATATATGGTATATTTAGTTGCAGGTTTTGTATGCTATTTTAGTAAAGAGGGATTGATGCGGCATTTATCGCGTTTGGAAGGAGTGTTGTGAGGGTTTCGGGTCTTGAGAGTGAGAAGGACCCTGTGACAGTGTCGGGGGTTCTCAAGGCCTTAAGGTTCAGCTCTTAGTTATGTGGGAGTTTCCGAAAATGGGGGACCATAAATAGTAGGATCCTCATAATATTCGGAAACTCCCATGGGCAGGTGGGAGGAAGGGTAGGGCGTTTGAAGAAAACGTTGGTTTGTCTTTCAAGAAGTAACTAAGTTGGCCGGCCTAACAAAGCGAGACAAACGGAACCAAGCAATTACACTTGACCCTGCACCCTAAACCGTAAGGATTCTGGTAAGGCTCTTCTCCTCTGAGCCATGTGGGAGAAAGGAGGGGAGGGGGCTATGGGTCGAGCCTGGGTCGAGGTACTGATATAGGTCGGCCCTTCATCAACGCATTTGAGCTTCTGCAGTTCATCCAACTTTTGACGGCGGGTTCTTAAAGCAGGAGGTCCCTTTTGTGGGTCCTTGTAGTAGGTCGGAACATCGGTGTAAGTATTATACAGCCTAAACACGAAGACCTCCAACTCTAAGACCCCGAAGCCCCAAGACCCTAAGCCTGAACCGCAATTCCGCGGAGCCAGAGAACTATTCCTGCAGTTAAAGCTCAAGCGCATCGGCGAGGCAAGACGACGCAGCAGAACGTGCAACAGCTTCAGGATGTCTTCGGAAGTATGATCTTGGACGACGACGCTTGGGCAGCAAAAGTCCCAAACCTCTTTAGGCGTGAGGTTCAGGAATTGTGGTTTGGGATTAAGCAGGTCAAATCAGAGTCTTGCGCTCAGGGAAAACTTCCTCGGAGCGTCTACTTTTGAGAATGACGAGGTACGGGAGATTTGCTGAAGGCCTTGGAGTTCCAGTAGAACGGTCTTCTCGAGGCAAAATCCTAGACCTCAACATCTAAGAGGTGACCCAGTTGGACCTGTCAATTGCCTAGTGGACGCGGATTCACCCTTGCACAAGGAAACAAGTCTTGCTCCAAACACTACACCGGCTCACCCTTGCGCAGGTAATCTAAACCCTAAACCCTAAACCCTAAACCTCTAGACCCTAAACCCTTTAGCCCCTAGACTCTAGACCCTAAACCCCTAATGTAAATACTACACCGCAGCCCTTCAACTACCTCAGCAGGGTTTATATCCTCAACCGTTTTGGGGCTCAGGGCTCAGTGTCCCGGCCTGAAATCTTTATGCATAAAATGCAGCTTCAGCCATTTGTTAATTAACTAGGTTGGATTTTGGGACATTTTTTATTTTCCTTATTTGGGTCTATAAGGGGCCCTATATATAAATATTTTTCAGGGTGTTTAAAGGCCAGCCCAGTTAATGAATGCTCTAGAATGACAACACTACACCATGGAAGCCTTGAGCGTTATCCAGCTGTGTAGCCACACAACCCTTAAGAAATGCGAACTGCTCCCGTTATTGAACGACAGAACTTACCCAGCCAATAGTGTCCCACAAGAGAAGCACAGAGTCCTCAGCAAAAGGATCTCGCTATAGAACCATAGAACCCCTTAGAATGGATGGTCCCAATATGGACCGATCGACTCATGAAAAAGTTGGGGGTTGCTGGGTAATGCAGCCTAGAAGAACGAGTAGGCATCATTTTTGGCGTGGGAATAGACCCTGAGCCCACCCTAGTCCTTCAACCCGAAATCCTAAACCCCTAAACCAAGCTTGTCCCAGTTGTGAGTGCTGAAACCCTCAAGAACGAAATCCTGAACCCTAAACCCGAAGCACCTTCGGCAAAGGACGAGGAGGAACTCGGCATGCGACTTACCGAGCCGGAAGAGGCGGTGCCCCGGCTCGACAGTTTCCTTGGGGCCTCAAGGTTGCGGTTGAGGGTGCCGGGGTTTACGGCTTTAGGGTTGAGGGTTTAGGTTGAAGATTCCGCCCATAAAAAAATTTTGCTGGTGATAAGCTACCTTGCAGCAACCCTAGCCCTTCCCCAGAGCTCTAAGCAGACTTTCCAAGCAGGGCTGAGAGTAGGGCCCTTATAACAAGGATCCGACTATTTAGGGTACTATATTAGGGTCCCCCATTTTCTGAAATTCCATTATTCTACTACTGGTATAACTCGCAATCCTGCGCGTTCGTAACAGAAACACCGATACATGCATCTGAGAGTTTCCGCAAATAGGGGACCGCAATATAGTACCCTAAATACTAGGATCAGTATCATATAAGGAGCCCCTAATAAGGTACCAAAAGTTTTCGGAAAGCCCCATCTGGCCTCGGCGAACTTTAATTGAAACCCTGGCCTGGGTCTGAACCACGCAGCCCCTCGCATCCCTGAGCAAACCCTAAACCCCAATCCCGAAAGCCTAAAATGGGAGTTTCCGAAAATAGGGGACCCTAATATAGTACCCCAAATATTAGGATCTTAATTATAAGGGCCCCCAAATAAGGTACCCCTAATTTTCGGAAACTCCCACATGGGGGCCTAAGTAATTACCAATACTATTACTATTTGGGGGGGGTCCTTATCACGAATATACTGCAATGGGCCCCCCAAACCTTATTCTAATTAATCAGGCCCCTGTAGTATCAGACCCTCAACTTAGAAACAGCCAAAGCCTCAGCACCAAGCCCCCCTCTAAGGCGATAGAGCCCTTACCTGCTCCGACAGTGCAGCTCGCGGCAGGAAGACGCCGCAGGAGAGTCCCTACTCATCGATATCGACGAGGCAATCGATATTCGCCAAGGCACGTCCGCGACATGATTGAGGTCACGGTTTTTCGGGATTGGGGTTTAGGGCACAACGCGGCTTGAAAGCTTACCGCCAACCGCAAACGGTGCAGAACATTCCGCAGTGGTCACTGAAGGACCTTTTCGAGTGGGATGCCTCCTTGCATAAGTATGTAGCAGATACGGTCAATCTAGGTGCCCTGGAAAATGGAGCAATGCTCGTTTTGTGTGCTTGCCTCATGTGGGAGGTGCTAAACCCCTAATATAGTACCTCTAGATAGTAGGATCCCTTTTATAAAGACCTCAAAATACGGTACCCCTTAATTTTCGGAAGCTCCCATATTACAGAGCGGCTAAAAACAAGTCCTCCTGAAATCCTTTGCCTTTCCAACCTTCCAGGCACAGGAGTCTTGACGAAGGAGGCATATGAGCACGAAGAGGCGGTGCTGCGCCTTGGATCGGTGAAGCCATGATCCCACGACTTAGGGTTTAGGGTTTAGGGTTTAGGGTTTGTAGGGTGTGAGGGTTCAAAGTTCCGGGGCCTAAACCCGACAAGCCGAAGTTAGATCCATTGGACTGTTGGATCTATTCGGGCTGTAACTAGGTCCCTAAACCCCAAACCGTCGATCTCGTCGGAGTTTCCGGGTTGGGGACCACGCAAGGCATGTTCTGACTTCGATGGAGCTTTCCTGGCTACGAAGGAGGGGCTAGTATAGAAGCCTATTTCATATAATTATTTGAAGTAGCCCCAAACCCCGTTTTCATCAAATATTCAGGCTCCGACATTACGCAAAGATTGAGGCCTTAAGTCAGAAAAGCTGGAGTCGTGAGTAAGTGTGAGAATTAGAGACCCCGCTGTAGAACACTAGCAATGAGACCCTAACCCTATACATCCTAAACCCTTTCTTTAAGAGTCCGAAAGAGGGATCCGTGAGCTTATGAAATCCCCGCATGGCAATAGGGGGTAGCCTGCCTGACACACAACGCTGAAGGATTCCGACACCGGCAAAATCAGTAATGAGAACATCCCTAACGAAACGTGGCCTTGAAAGCTTCAACGTGCTTAAAACTCCTACATTTCGAGTCGAAAACCCTCCATTGCGTACGCAAGCAATGAGTTGCATGTGCTGGGAGACGGCTCTTGCCAGTCTCTACACTACTCCATGACACAGACGTCGATGGATCAGCTGAGGGTCGGAAATCCGATGGACTTCTACCAAGAGGGTCCATATTATATATATATATATATATATATATATATATATATATTTTATTTATTTATTTATATTATATATATATAGATATATATATATATATATATGTATATATATATATATATGTGTATTATATAATATATACATATCTATATATATATATATATATATGTATATATGTATGATATAATATATATATATATATATATATATATACATAATATGGGGGCCTTCATAATTTTATTAATAGGGCTTGGGGGCCCATTATACTGTAAGTATAAGAAGGAACCACCAAGAAATATTATTGGTAATGATTCGGGCCCCCTAATATATATATATATATATATATATATATATATATAGATATAGATATAGATATAGATATAGATATAGATATAGATATATATATATATATATATAGACATATAATATGGGGGCCTTAATATTTTTAATAGAGTTTTGGGCCCATTATACTGTAAGTATAAGAAGGAACCACCAAGAAATAGTATTGGTACTGATTCGGGCCCCTATAGTATGGCCCTATAGTATACTACTGTTGTGGAGTCCTTCAGGGTCCATGTACCCAACTAGTCATTTAATATACTTTAGAAGTTTATTCAAAGGGGAAAAGGAGCGACCCTTAATTGGGACCCCTACCCCAAAATGTGCTATATAATGGGTATATATTAGCTACATGAAGGGTATATACCTAGGGGTCCTTATTAGGGGTCCCTCCTTGCACCCTTGGATTTATACTATCCCTAAATCCAGGATAAGGATGGTCCTTTGGGACCCAATTCTATAATGGTCCTATATACCTTAACCTACCAAACCCTACGATTTTGTAGGTTCTTACTATGAGCCTTAATATGGAGTTTCTAGGGAACCTACAAAAATGTAGGTTTTGGTAGGTTAAGGTATGGACCCTCTGGGATACTACTCACGGAAACTAGGCGGACCAAAGCGTGAGTCTTCGTCAGGTCAAGGAAAGCACTGTTTAACCCGTTGAGGCACGTGGCTCTGAGCTTCGCACTTTATGTGGGAGTGAAAACCTTAAGCCCTCACCCTCGACCGTTAAGCCCTTATACCCTTAAAATCCAAGGATCTCGCAACATTTCTGGACATGTCAGCCTGTCAGGTATTTCTCCACGTCCCAGCAGTGCTACATACCAGCGAAGGTGGAGTCCTGGCCGCTTTCTACAAGTAGGGCACATGATCCTAATGTCGTGTTTTCAATTAGTAACAGTTCGAGTTCTATTTCCTTTTGGTATTACAATTGTAGTTCAGCATAGTCTAGTATCAAAGAGTACCGAATAGCAGTATCGTATAGTTTTTTGTATAGTAGAAGGACTCGTAGGCTTCCTGAGACTAAGAAGGATATATAGAAACACCCCACCGAAAGGAGACCTTGGCGTTCTTCTGATTGGCACTTAGGACTTTAACTTTTTGGGTTTCTATATGAACTATAATAAGGAGGCTAACAGTTTAACTCTTCGGAGAGTTTCAAACGTCAGCCAAGAAATCCAGGCCAAGAGTGTCGTTCGAGGCAGTCGCAGGCATGCGCGGTGCGCATGCTTGCGATTACACATCTGTTTCTTTTCATCAGCTGCAGAAACATCTGCATGCGTGTGTGATGATACATTGCGGCCCACTGCTAAGAGCTGTCTTTGCATCTACATAACGGCGTTGATGCCTGCTTCTTCAATGTGTTGGCGTGCTTTCTATATGTGCACTTCTGCTGGCAAGTTAGTTTAGTGTGAAGTCTTTACTACAGACATAGGCATGTTTATCGTCCCTGTCTTTCTTTTGGATGCCCACTCGCTCTGCCTGGGACCTAAGAGCTATAAAGCCTAAACCCCAACCCCTAAACCCTAAACCCCAAAACCCCAAAACCCTAAACTCTAGTGCCGAAGCCGTGCCTGCGTGAGCGAGCGTGCGAGTCGAAACTCTAGTGCCTAGTTGTTAACGTTTTGAGAGTCCCTACATGCGGACTCTCCTCAGCCAATGCGCTGTTCGCCGCGTACCGGAATCCTCGCCCAGGCATGTCCGAGTGCGAGTGCTGAAACTCTAGACCCTAAACCCTGCTATTGCCGAGTGTGAGCGTCAAAAAACACCCTAAACCCAAGACCCTAAAGCCTACCTGTAGCCGGGAAGGCCTACTTTTTCAGGGTTCCTTATTCTGGCTTCTGTATAATGCCTTAAAAAGGTAGGTCTTTTGGGCCAGGCAAACCCTAAAGCCCAAGAGCCTAAAGCCTCAACTCTAAACCCTAAACCCCTAAATCCCTAAAGCCTAAAGCCTCAACTCTAAACCCTAAACCCCTAAAACCCTAAACCCTAAACCCCTAAACCCTGAACCCCTAAACCCCTAAACCCTCAACCCCTAAACCCTAAACCCTACACCCCTAAACCCTACACCCCTAAACCCTACACCCCTGAACCCTAAACCCCTAAACCCTAAACCCCTAAACCCTAAACCCCTAAACCCTAAACCAATAAACCCTTAACCCTGAACCAATAAACCCCTAAACCCCTAAAGCCTAAGCCCGACTCGGCTCAGGAGGGCCCGGGAACCTTCGACGAGGATGGCATGTTGCCACTCTACAGCCTCCTTGCCTCCTAGCCGCAGTTAGGGTTTAGGGATTCAGGGGTTTAGGTTTAGGGATTGAGGGGTTTAGGGTTTAGGGATTGAGGGGTTTAGGGATTCAGAGGTTTAGGGCTTAGAGATTCGGGGGTTTAGGGTTTAGGGATTGAGGGGTTTAGGGTTCAGGGATTGAGGGGTTTAGGGTTTAGGGATTCAGGGGTTTAGGGTTTAGGGTTTAGGGGTTTGGGGTTTAGGGCTTAGGGTTAGTTTAGGGATTCAGAGGTTCAGGGGTTAGGGGAAACACTGGCTGGGATGGTTAGGAATTGCGGGATAGACCAGTGGATCTAGTTTTTCAGCGGGATTGGCTATGCGTTTTTGTGGTCGTCACGAGTTCTCGCATTGTAGTAGCACCAGTCGTCGTCGGAGCCGTCAGTCGTAGAAGCAGCGGCAGTGGCAGGAGGAGTAGTAGTAGTTGTTGCTGTACTAGCAAGAAGAAGTAGTAGTGCTAAACCTTAAATCGCCTAAACCTTAAACCCTATTTGGTAGTGCTTCAAGTCCAGTAGAACCTGTGGAGCCGCGACATCCAAACCAGACGAAAAAATGAAAATGCAAGCAACCGTACGGCAGCCCAGAAGGGTCAAATGTAGGTCTCAAAGCGCCTCAACCCAGGACCATGAACGTTGCGCTGCACCGTTTTTTCAACAAAAACAATCCCGAGACACTACATACAACAGCCCGAGACCTCTGAACCCTGAACCTCGAAAGCCGAAGCCCCAACCCCGATACCAACAGGTATCCCTTCCAAGAGCAATTGTAATAATCATATAAGACCGTTGCTACACCCCTAACCCTTAGAGGCCACATGAGAACTTCAACCCGTGTGCAAGCACAAAATTGGGCTCCTAACCCATGCTTGCAGCCCTTACAAACCCTTTTCCATCCTTTGCGTCCCAAAGAACTCGTTAAACCCTGCTGCTTTTGAAACCTTGATGAAGCAAAAAACATAGACTGTTAACCTACAGACTCCAAAACCAACGAAACGTGAAGCAATAAACCTTAACTTGTACAGGAAGCCAAAACCCTAAACCAGAAAGTTCCTGAATCCAGTGCTCTCAGACCTAAACCCCCCAAAGTAGGCAAAATTATGGCCCGATACCCATAAAAGGCTATTGTTCTACTGGTACATATTTTTGGGGTCCAGGGAGTCTCTAGAAGCCCCTTTCGCTGCCGAGGTTGGCGTTCGCGCGCAGCTTCGGGAGTGCCAGTGTGATTTGCTGGGTTCTTGAAAAGGAATTTAATTGAAGTTGCCACTATAAGGGTCTATCGTAAGTAATATGGTTTCTTATTATGGTAACTTGAATTATAAATCTCTTTACAAGAACCCAGTCTTGGTAAGGGCTCTAGGTCTTCACAGGGCTTTTGGTGCCTTCAGAGGGCTTAAGTTATTCGAGGGCTTAAGTTATTAAGGGATTTATATAAGGGGTTTTCATGGCGCTTCAGACTTTAATGTGGTCTTCACAGGGTCTTGTGGGATTTCCAGAAGGCTTTAACAGGATTTGGGAGCAAAGGGGCTTGAGGTTTAGGCTTTTCTCGCTTGGTCGATGGGAACAGTTTCGAAACCTTTTGGGTGTCCGCACTGCTGATGGATTGAATCCTGCACTATGCAAAGCTTTGTAGCTGAGTAGGTAACCTTTACGTTTTGGGTTTATGTAATCCTAACATAATTGCAAAGGCTAACCTTTTTGGGATGGGTACTCAACTCCTACGAAACAAAAAGTACAGCAGTCCGTCCATCCGTGCGTTCATATATCCAGCCGTAATTACATCCATCCGCACATTGCACCACATTACCTCAGATTCCATGACGATGCAGTACATCACGCTGCCTCACTTACCTAGTTACATACATACATGCATGTGCATTTTCGTATGTACCCGTACAAAGCTTTACTCTCTCTCTCTCTTTCTCTTTCTCTTTCTCTCTCTCTCTCTCTCTCTCTCTCTCTCTCTCTCTCTCTCTCTCTCTCTCTCTCTCTCTCTCTCTCTCGTTCTTCCCATGCATACGTATATTAAGCATCTATATACTTGCATCTGTGTGTTATTCATGCATACGAATACACACTTGCGTGTAAAACCGTGTTGTTTTGATGTTCCGAAAGCATCCTTCAGCAATGTAGGAACCTGACTACGAAACCTTGGGCCTGTATTAGGGTTCCTTATATGCTTATATGAATCCTAATAAACTGCGGGTTATAGGCCCAGGGTTTCTTAATCAGTTTCCTACGCTAGCCTTAACGTAGGGGCCTGAATAATTCGAACAGGGCTTAGGGGGTATATTATTCCATAATTATGATAAGGAACCCCCACCCCCAAAAAAAAAACAATTCCTTCAGTAAATCCCGAAGCTTCTGAACCGGAGGAGCGTGTTCCGATGCAGCTCCTTCGGGCCCCCTTGAAAGAAGGAGTCCGCGTGGAGGCTTCTTTACTGCTCTTAGGAATGATGTCTTCGGTTTAGGGTTTAGGGTTTAGGATGTCTTATCTTTAAAGAGGAAACGTATGACTTGTATTCTGTATATATATATATATATATATATATAGGGGCGGCTATGGCTGTTTGGGTTGAGGGTAAACTGGGTTTGTCCTAGCACGTTGCAACGTCTGGGTGAGGAGTTCGGATTCGTTTCATGAGTTTGGGGGCTCACAGGGCTTCGGGATGCTTAGGGTTTGGGAGCTCGCAAAAACAGACTAACCTTCAAGCTTATCGTTAAAGGCCTGCTTGGAGTATGTGCTGCATAAAACTTCCATGCATTGACATGAGCGCAAGATTGCAGGATGTCTCGAATGGGTCTGTCTGTGGCCTGTCGGTAAGCTGATTGCTTTGCAGTGGTTTCGAGACCGGCCGTGTTGCTCCTGTAGAAGTACTCACCGGCTTGCCTCCCTAGACTCCCAAAATGACCCTTCCTGAAGTCAATGATCGTGAGCGTTAGTCCCCAAAGAGCCATATGCTACCGGGGCGTCCTGGCGTGAACAGTACCCTAAACCCCAAACCGTAGAAAGGAGCTGCTAAACCCATAAGCTCTAAAGGCCCTGGAGCCCTAGACCGCCTAAACCTAAAACCCCCAAAATCACAAAAACCCTAAGGCCCTAAACCTGAAAGCCATTATGCTAGTGCCGCATATGCGTTGTGATTTTGACTGTTCTTCTGGGAGTTTCAGAAACTATGGCATCCCAACGAGACCTCCACTAGGATATGCTTCATACAGGACTACAGGCCTCAAAGCAGGCATGATTCAGGCACTTGGAGACTTCCTGGAGGGTCGGGGGTCCTTATTGAGTCGTCGAATTATGAGGTTTTTAGCACCTTAAGAGAAATTTAAAGGAATCCGGCTGGGGTTGCTATAAGGTTTAGGGTTTAGGGGTTTAGGGTTTTCTACACGAGTCTTGCTGCACTCTCTTTCGGATTCCCTTCTTTCACTTTCATCTTCCTTCAGCCTTCTGCGTCAATCCGATGCCTCTTCAGACGCCCCAGCCCGTGACTCAAACAAGGGTTTCCTACTGTTGATGATATAAATCCTGGAGTACCTTAAGGACCCTCAACTATGGGAATTATGTTATATTCCTTGTTATGGGTCATGCAGATTTATATCATCCACCGTACGACGCGAGACTCCTTCGGGTAGACGCAGAGTCGCCTAGCAGGGCTGCCTCCCGAGTCCCCCCGCGACGACCTGAGTCGGGGACCAGACTAGAAAAAGCTTAAAAAACCCTCAGAGGAAGCTTAGAGAACCCTAAGAGCCCGTATCAAAATTATAGAATCCTTATATATACATACATCCCTTACGAACTTCGTAGGTTGGAACCTCATGGAGCCCTAAATTTAGGGCCCGATGCGTTAGAGACAAGCCCACGCCAACTCCTCGGTCAGGCATACTCGGAGTCGTGTCCTGGCTGCAGCAATGGAACCGTCATATGAGGGAAGTCCCAGATGGACGTCGTAGGAGTCAGGGTCTAGTCTGGGATGGTGTAGGTCTTAGGCGTTAGGCTGCAGGGGTTGAGAGTTTCAGCTCCATGTCCCAAGCCCTAAGAGTCCTCAGGTTTTGGGTGTCATGAATTATATCCACTCCACGTTCAAGTCAGGTTATCAGGCTGGGGCCGCTTGTTCATTGAGGTTTGGATTGAAGCAGTCCGCTTCAGAACTTCGTTGGCGTGGGTTCCGATACCGTGAACCCTAAACTGAACCCTTAAACCCCAATCCCTGAACACTGAAGGAGCCTGAAACCTGACTGAACCCTGAAAACCCTCACAAATCCTGAATCCTAAACCTGAGGCCTAAACCCTGTATCCTGTGGCAAAGTCGCCAGATCAACCTGCCTAGGTCGCTAGCCAGGCGAGCTAGGGCAGATAGGGGTTAAGAGTTTAGGAGGAAACCGAAGTCTGAACGTTCGCGTCTTCAGAGTCCAGCTCATAGTCGAAGTTTGCGCAGTGTCCCTAGATGAAGGCTAGTCTAAAACACCCACAACCCTACACCCTCGACATCCCTAAACCCTAAACCCCAACCCCTTCAACCGAATCCTGAATCTTTAGGCCCGGAACTGAAACCGGGAGCCCGCAACCCCCTAAGCCTGAACCTCAAACCCTCAATCCCAAGACAGCGGCCTAGTATTAGAGTTAGAGGTTTAGTTTAGGTTTGGCACGGTTGATGACTATGGGAAGGATGGTATATGCATTGTTATGGCTAATGCAGGATTTATAGCATCAAGCGTAGGGCTTAGTCTTCGATTTTATCTCTTCCCTCAAGTTTGTTCCAGCCCTGTTTGGGGGTCGGAGGACTTAGTAACTAGTTCTTTTAGAGACTTATAGGTGCCATAACCCCAATTAGGATTCCTTTTAGGGTACCTATAATTCTACTTATTACCTACCTACTAAGTCCCCCGACCCTCCAAGTGGGCCCCCCTAAGCGCCGACCTCTTGAGGCTGCAAAAGTGGGTCCCGGCTCTCATCTTGCGTGAGCCCATGCGAACCGTCCCTCACTTGGCTTCTCCGTTAAGGCTCACTTGGAGGGTCGGGGGACTTAGTAAGTGGGTAAGTCCCCTAAAAGGGACCCTAATTGGGGTTATGGTACTTATAAGTCCCTAAAATAAACAGTTACTAAGTCCCCCGACCCTCCAAGCAGGCATGTACCCATATAGTATATACTTAGGCCTTAAAGGGGTTCCTATATGGGTACTTTAGGGTACAAGTATATACTATATGATGCCTACATGGAGCCTTTGGGTAAGGCTCAGGGGTCCGAGATTTAAGGGTGTAGGCTATACCTGTGTCCCAGAAGACCTACCTTTGTAAGGAACCATATTTCGGACCCAAACTTGGAACCCCAAAAAGGTAGGTCTTTTCGACTACAGGTAGGCTTTAATGTTTAGGAGTGTAGGCTTTAAACACTAGCTGGGCAGCAGGGCCCAGAGATACGGTTGTAGCTTTCGCCCCACGCGCAGCGTGCGTGCGATGACACCGGACTTCCAGAGCTCCCTGACAGAGTGGGGCATCCCGCCAAGAAGCCAGGAGGACGTCACCAAACAAACAGTGCTGGGCAAACTGAGAGCTCAACAGAGAGAGATGTAGAGAGAAAACCAATCGCAGAGTTCTTTGTGCCACATCC